GCTTTTAGCACCCCTGAAGATCCTGACAGCCAAGACCTATTTGCCCTTACTTAGAAAATCAATATATCTGGACAGTTGTATTCTGAGTCCAAGGTTCACAGAGATCCCTTCTTATTTCTCTGGATTAACCCAACCATTCTCTGCAAGCAGACTAGTCTTATGATGCCCTTCTGCTTTTGCCACCAATCTTCATCTTAAACATTGTAATATTCTTAATTCTGCCCCGTCTAATGAAGGTAAGCCCCACGACCAGGAGGTACTGGCATCCCATTTCATGACATCACATCCTGATCCAAGGCACACCCCTTTGACTAATTCTGATTTAATTTTGTTTGTGGATGAGTCGTATTGTAAAAATGAAAAAGGGAATTTCCAGGCTGGTTATGCTATTACCACCCAATATGAACTACCTGGAAAGGGAAATCTCCCACAAGGTAAACCGGACCAACAAGGAAGAACCCTTACCAGACTGTGCCAGCTATCAAGAGGACAAATTTTAATATTTATATGCTGGCCAATACATTGTTGGGTTGTCCATGAATTCGGAATGTTATGGAAACAAAGGGGTTTTCTCATGTCCACAGGGACCCCGATCAAAAATGGACAAGTACATGACCACAATTGCTCTTCTATCTTCTGAAGTTGCTGTCCTCAAATACAGACACACAATAAAAGGACTAAGCCTGACTATTAGGGAAATGCCCCAGTGGACTTTCATGCAGAGACAACATCAAGAGAATCTGTAAAGGTTGTGGAACATGTGGGGAGAGTCCATTCCGCTTCTACAAAAGAATGACCTCTTGTTGCCAGATTTGCCATCCTAATGTCCTTGTGACATGGCAATAGTCTGCTCCTGAATCAGACAAATTAGGATGGGCAAATAATGGCTATAATTTCAACAGTCAGGGATATGGGAAACCCAAGATGGCCCCTTCATTCTTCCCAGCCCCTTGGCAAATTATATTTTTTGATTTTTACATTGCTTCACCCACCATGATGTATTTAAAATAACTCAATTTATAAATAAACATAGGTGGGGAGATTTCTACAACACTGCAAAACAAAAACAAAAACAAAAAACAAAAACCAGTTTATTGTCAATATCTAACCTATCAGGTCCATAGTTCTGGAAAACCTATTTTTGCTCCCAGATGCCTCAAACCTCCTCCCTGTGGACCTTTGGAACACCTGCAGCTGGACTTCATTCATTTGCCACAATTCTGGGATTATCAATATGTTCCTGTTATTGTTTTTACGTTTTCTAGCTGGCTAAAGTTTTTCCCTGCTGCGAGGCTAATGCCCTCACCATGGTAAAGAAACTGTTAGCAAACATGTCTTCCACTTGGGGCACACCTTCTATAATTTCTAGTGGTCAAGATACCCACTTCACTGGGAAAATCATACAAGCTTTAATAAAGGCCTTATAAACATCCTGGAATTATCATTGTCCCTGATACCCTCAATTACTGGCAAAGCTGAAAGAACTAATGGAATTTTCCAACCTAAAATCTCTAAGCTTAGACTCTACTGGACTCCCCTGGCCTAAGGCACTGCTGCTAGCTCTGTTGCTAATTGACAATATCACCCTTGGAAAATATACACTCACTCCATATGAGATGGTTACCAGTAGGCCAAAGACTACTGGCATGCAAATTTCTGCTGATCCCCTGCCAGTATGATCCCTTCCGCCCTCATGCCAGTATGACCAGCTACTGTGAGCCTTTAATGTCTAATGCTAAAGCCTACCATCAACAAGTTAAAGAAGGGTTCTCTGACTCCAGTTCAAAGGATCCTGTGGGTTAGTCTGGAGCCTGGTAATTTTGGAAGCACTGTTGTGGAGAGGGGGGAAAAGCAGCTCTCAAGCCACATTGGAAACAATGTTACCAAATGTTCCTGACACTAGAGGCCAAAACTAGAGGGCACTGAGCCTTGCCTACAAATCTCACAGCTAAAGATGGCCCCAACTGACCTCTGGTCCTGTAGAGATGCTGGAGACCTCTAAATTGAATAGACAAGGGAAGACAAGTAGTTCACATAAAGGTGAGCAGCTTCTGCCCAAGGTGCCAGATCAAGACTTCATATTTTAACATGAAATCTTTTTTTCTCCTTTTTCTTTCCTCTGGTGACAGCCTGGAAAGATACGCTCTCATGTGTATCTCCCAGGCCATTGAGGAGTGGGGAGGTGTCATCTTTCAGATGGCTAGCTTGTCATCAAAGATTCCAATCTGTCCATGATGCTAGAGACTCCCTAGTCCTCTCTGTAACTAACTTCTCTTCTTTTCCTAATGTCACTGCAAACTACAACTGACTCCCCCAGAAGACTCCCACTAATTTCAACGTTTACAGCCAGAACAACCTGTCCCTTGCTTTTATCTTTCTTCAACTATGAGTGTATGTACCCAAGGAAACACAACTACTTATGTAAACCTTGGTACATTTGCACCCCCATGTTCTTGTGATCATCTAGCTTCTGCTCCCTGCTCTACGGCATCTCACCAGCAACACCCATCTTTGCAGGGTATTTAGAATGAACGACTCTCTCAGGCTAGGAGATTTTCTTCTGGTGGGTGCTGAAAACCTAACTGACCCCAGGCTGGAGAGGGTGAATGCAATAATCCCCGAGAATGAATTCATTAATAGCACCACCTAAAGGGAATGGTTGTGTCTCTTTGAGGCAGTTAACATTCTCTGCTGGCCTATGAATGCCTACTTGGTGCACAACTGGGCAATGACTCTTAAGTTAATTGTACAGCTAACTTTTTACAAGCAAACTAAGACATCTCATTAGTTGACTCCCTTGAATTTATACCATCGAGATAAAAAAGACCTACCAGGAGGCATTCAAGATTCAGGATTTGCATCTTTTTGGCAGGGCCATGCTTTCCTGGTTAGGAGTTAGTGAAAACAAGATGTGATCAGAAACCTCTCCCTCACTCTTGAAGATAATGTAGAATCTGTTGCTGATGGCCTAGGCACCCAACAAAGATCTTGAGCCTCTCTGGCAAAGTTGTCCTTGGTACTAGAACAGCTCTTGATGATCTTATAGCTGAACAAGGAGGTGTCTGTGGTGTGGCCAACACTACCTGCTGTGCCAAGATTAGCATTCTGGGAAATTGAAGCTAAATTACATGAGATCACAGAAAAAAATGACTCCTTCCATGGGGCCTTTCTTTGACTTATTTGATTTTGACTGGTTTGGGTCTTGGGACCATGGCTTCAAAGTACACTCCAAACATTGGGAATTATCCTCCTTAGAGCAATCATAATAATCTTCCTGACACACTGTATTCTCTCAAAAGCTTTAAGTGCGTGTTTGTAGCCATTAACCACCAAACAAATGAGTGGACCATCTAAGAAATGAAGAAAATAACCAACTTAACAAGTGTAAACTGGAAACTGTGACCTATGAATATCAAGAAGTTGAACAGGAATATCATGACCTATAGGCACCAGACAAAGAAACAATGAAAACTGTGAATTTCAGAGTGGTAGCTGAGAGTGGTGCTAGTGCCTTAAATTTTGATCACATCTCTCAGTTACCTGGAGAATTGAGAGAATTGTTAAAAACAAAACCACAAGCCCAAAATGATGCCACTTAGATCAAGTTCCCAAATTGGGGTTTAATACCTAATCTAATGACACTTTCAACCTCCACCAGAAATGTTGTCTTAACCAGTCAGCCAGGAATTTTTCAATTAGTGCCAAAAAGTCTACCACATGGGCCCCTCACATCCCCCAAAGAAAGATGAGGTAATCTGCATGATAAGACCCCTTGTCATCTACCGCCCCACCCCACCAATGGAAAGCCACCTGGCCTGGAATTCATTACTTTCCTTTGCTAATTACTTTCTTTCCCCACCCTCCTTCTACAACAACCTTCCGTTATGTACAGTTCCCTGGGGGCTCTTCTCTGCCTCCTGGATGGGATGGGTGCCCTGCTCATGAGTCATTCAATAAAGCCGGTTAGATCTTCAAATTTTCTCAGTTGGCTTTTATTTCTTTAACAGTACCATCTAGTACCCAGTCCATATTCATATTTATGATTGCCTTTAAAAATATCTTTTTTACAGGGGCACCTGGGTGGCTTAATCAGTTAAGTGTCTGACTCTTGATTTTGGTTCAGGTCATAATCTCAGGGTCACAAGATAGAGCCCACGATGGGCTCTGTGCTCAGCAGAATCTGCTTCCCCTCTCTCTCTGTCCCTCCTCCCTGCCCCTCATACATGCTCTTTCTCTCCCCCCACAAAATAAATTAGTCAGTAAGTAAATAAATAAATATCTTTTTTACATTTCATTTGATTGCATCAAGTTCGTAAACAAAGTCCACACATTGTATTTGCTGGATGAAGTTCTCAAGCCTCTTTTCATCCTAGAGCAGTCCTTCTAAACTTACCCTCTCCCACTTTTCTCCCATGTCACTGACTTACTAAAGAAATTAGGTCAGTTATCTATCCTGTGGTTATGACCCACATTTGGGATTTGTTTGCTTTTCCATGATTTCACGTAACTTGTTCCTCAATCTGCCATATTTTTTGAAAACTGGAAGTCACGGGGCCAGTACTGATAGTCACTATAATATCCTATCTTGAGTAGACAAAGCATGCCCTTTCTTGGGAGTGCCCGTATTAGGCAGGCGTGAGTGTGTTACTTTGGTTATGCCGCTTAAAATCTGTGACCTTGGGCAAGTTACCACACCTATCTAAGCCTCCACAGGAAGGAAATATAAGAATTCATAACTTGATGAGTTTTATAAAGATAAAATGAGATGATGAGAAGGCAAGGCCCACCCTGTGTCTGATACATACACACACAAGCAGTCACTCAGGGAGCGTCAGCTCTAACAGTGACAAACGATACCTCCGGTTCACATAGCATAGAAATACTCATTCCAATAAAATGCTTATAAAGTACTTGAAAAACTGTATCTCTCTTTTTTTTTTTTTTTGACATAACAGGATATGCACAATATTTATCCGTGTCAGTGATTAAGCAATACATACAGCAGAAGTAGGGAGTCCAAGGATTTTTGAAGAATTAATTGTCAGGAATTTTGCTGTACTGTTAAGGGAGCAGAGTCTCCGCTGGGCCGAAAACATGCTGCAGAATAAAAGAAAAACTTTAAAAGGAAGAAAATATATGATATTTACATCACTATCAGATACTTGCAGCTACCTAATAGACCATAAGCTTATATAAAATATAAGTAAAAATTGTTGATAGCTGTTTTCCTCCCATATGTAATCTCTCACCACTAGGATCATTCTAATAGAATCCTCCTTATCTTACAAAAATTTATGAATCTGTCATTTTAAACTAAAGAGGTGTAAGGATATTGTAAATTCAAAAAACAAGGCTCTCATTTAGTCAAGGGCATAGAATTACAGTAAGTAAAAGTTTCATTTGTAGCAGCTATAAAAACCAGAATATCTCAATCTAGGAAATACTCAATTTTCATAATTTCCTGGATAATAGTCACTGGTAAAACAGCACAATTTTTGACAGTAAATTAAAGTGGTTAGAAACAGAATTTAGCAAGTTGTTTGAAAAGGATTATATCAAGTCCTTGACAAATATAAAGAATATATGAGTGAATCTTGGGTTATTTTCATAAATGGTACTTTCTTCAACAATCCTATAGACAGCGAGCAAACTATTTCAATAGATTCCAGTTACATAACAAGCATGCATTCTGAATTACATCTCTACCTATAAAGAAAACTTACCAAAGAAATATGAAATTCTATTACTGTACTGCACTTACAAGTATAAGAAAACCCAGCTTTCTAAAAAACATTCAAATGTATAAGAAGAAACTTCTCATAAGGTCTTCCGGGAATGCTGTATCAAGTGGATGGCACTTCCGCTATCTCTGGTAGTTAATTAAACTTTAGAAAAAGAGACATACTCTACGACTCAAAGGAATCCACTGAAGCCAGCTACCTATGAATCTTTTCAAGTTACCGAAATGCTAAGGCTACAGAAAGATTTAAAAGGTGAGAAATAATATATTGGATGCTTGTTAAAAGGTTAAATATAAAATCCTGACCTTGTCAACAAAATCTCAGCTTCAAGTGACCATCTTTAGCTATTCTATATCACATCAGCCCTTTAAATTCTCTGCAAAGCACTTTTGTTGCTGTTGTTTGGTTCGTCACTCATTCACTTATTCAATGTTTCATGAACAGGGACCTGATGTGTTTAGTCTACCAGTGCGGTCTCTGGCACCTGGTAGGCACTTGGTAAATAACAATAATAAATGACTGAATAAATACAGAAAAATCACACTATAAATTAATAATTTAGGTGGACTATTTATGAGGCCTTTTATGAAATATTGATTCCTTTTTAAAGTAAATAATTACCCCTTATGTTGTACGTCTTTCAAGTTGAAGAACAGGTTTTCTTAAATCAAGAAATGCCTAGTCTTCTGTCATTAACTGTTCCATTCAGAAATAAAATATTAACTAGGTTAGGCAATATGGGTTGTTTTAAGGAAAGATATTACCAAACAACAGGAACAATATCGAAAAATCTTATTTAGTATCACGGAGTTATTTGATTTAGGATAATACAGTTGTTTCCCCCCCACCCCCAGCAAACAAATGTCCATTTATTTAAGTTCAGCCCAATTTCTTAGGTATTCAAGCAAAGTATAAGCAAAATGCTTTCTTGCAAGTAGAAAAATGGGAGAAACCTCCTCTACCTTCTTGAGATAAACTAGGTGAAAAAAACAGCATAGGAACCAGAGTACCTCGATTCTAGTCCTTATTCTGATATTTTAAAAAGTTTTCATACATTATATATTAATAAAAATAATTAAAAAAATAGAAGTTTTCTATCCTTGGACAAGTCACTGATTCTTGCTGAACCTCAGTTCCCTCATTTTTCAAAACAGATGAACACACAAACCGTTGATTTAAAGTCAAGCCAGAATGGCTGATCATGTGTGAGCTTAGGCACAATTGTTGGGAGATTTCACTCCACACTTGGGTGAACCATGCCCTCTGGCCAGCAGGTCTCAGTGCCCATTCTCTATAAGGAGTCAACACTAAATCCATCTGATTTCATCTGGAAATCCCAAAGCCTAAATTCTGCATCATCTCTAGCTACCTTCAACAGTGTATTACACCTCCACGGTACAATGTAATCCCGGCAAGTGACCCAGTTCTTCATTTCTTTGCCACTTTCCATACCTTCCACTGTGTCTTTTGGAACAGATAGGCCATAATCAGCAAATTTCAATGTATCTTTACATTCTCAGCGTGTTTTCCTTGCTTTAATGCCAATCTTATTGTTCCCTGAAGATACCATTTCTATGTTCCTCAGTGCTGGATTTTGTTTTTATATTCCGCACCTAAGTCTTTCCTGTTGTCCATTTCACTACTTCCAGACTATTAGTTCCCTCATCTGACTCACTAATGTTATCTCCTGGTCTGCTGATAACTTCCTGTCATTACTAAAGATTTGTGATTAGGCATACAGTTTTCTTCTCAACACAAAGTACTGTGATCATCCCAGATAATTTCAGTGGCTTCAGAGAGGATCCTCCCAACAGCTAACAATCCCAGGTCTGCTGGTCTTCTGCTCCAGTCCACCTTAGTCACTTTCCTGCCATTATATCCTGACCCTGCACCTTGCCATTACCTCGGTCTGGTCTAATTCCAAAATAACTAACTGAAACATTCTGCTTTTTGACCATAAGCTACCATCCCTTTCAGTTAATTATTCTATTCTTCAGTATTGTCAAGATCTCTAGGAGGCTTCCTCTCCTTTTCCCAGTCAGCCTTCCCATTCCATTATTTTCCAAATTAGATGCCAGTTCTACCATTGTCGTAATGTTCTTGACAATGCCCTACCCACCTGTCTGTCCTTTCACCTGTTTTCAACACTCTAGCCCTGGATGAAGTCCTCCACAGAGTCTGATTTCCCCACGCTGTGGAATGCTGGGGAAAGTCACATAGGACATGTTTGGTTTCACCATAAATTCATGGTCATTAATCTCAAATTGATTCCCAAACTCTCCAGCATTTATGCTATATTTTACAGGGGAAGGATGGCAGAATATGTCACCTCAAAATAATCACTTTAGAATAAGAATTATTTTGAGCTAAAAGCACTTGAAAAACAGCAAACACAAGAAGAGCAATCTGATTCCTCTCCTTTTTTCTGAAAACAGGACATAAAATTCCCATGTGAAAAGTGCTCTCCCTGCACAGGAAAAAAGAAACATTCTTACATGGAAAGTTGAAGCTGAGGGAATTCTGTAAACTCAGAACTTGTTAAAATAACTCTTACCTTCCTTTAGCCTCCCCAAATATTTTGGTTACTTTTCCACAATTGCCTCTCCAAGTTCAACCTAGTATAACAACATTTGTTTTTGCCACTGCTTCAGGTCTTCATTTTCTTAGGATTCCTGTGTCACGTAGACCTTATATTAAATGTGTGTACTCTTCTTCTGTAATCTTCATTATGGCAGTTCAAGTCTCAGGCCCAACTGGAAACCCTAAAAGAACAGGCCATACTTCTCTCCCACAGTCGAGAATGACTATATTTTAATTTTTCCCACACTCCTCTAACGTAAAAGCACTTTATTCCAAGTAGATGACCTTGATTCCTATCACAGAGAAAACAGAAGCTATCAGATTTGCCATTTCAATTTACTCAAATTGAAAACACCAAACCCCTAAATGCTTTCCTTCCCTTCTATTATAATAAAGAAAGTGACCCTCCCACAAAATGAGAATTCTTCCTCCCATGACTAACTCTATGGAGACCTTGCTCCAATGATTTTTACCCCTTTCTCTGGTATATGCAACATTCCTTGCTTACATCTCTTCTGGTTAAAAAAACAATAAATACAAAATATAAACAAAAATTAAAACTCTTGACTCTACCTTCTCCTCCCTGTTGCTCATTTCCTCTTCAAATCAAAACTTTCCAGTTACCTTCTCGTGAGAGCAAAGCTTTTAAAAAGTTATGTTCTCAGTTGTCTTCTTTTCCTCAATCTATACTCTTCAACCTGGTGCCAACTGACTTTTGTACCCAGGACTCCACAGACACGGCTCTTGTTCAAGTCAGCTTTGACCTTCATATTGTTAAGTCCAGTGAACATCTAGCAATCCTCTCACTTCCCTTGAGCACCCTGCAGTTTTAGATCCTGTTGGTCAAACCCTGTCCCCTCCCAGAAACACCATGTACCCTTGGCTTTTGACATAGTACAATCCCTCATTTCCCTCCTACCTCTCCTCCAATCTGCCATTGAATGATGGAATTTCTCAATACCCACACCTGGAGTCTATCTACTCACTCATTAATCTCTCACTAATCTGATTGTGGGAAGAATTGTGGGGACATCAGTGAAAAAAAAAAAAAAAAAAAAGCTCCCGAGAAATCTAAGTAGGCTGACATACAGATTCAGAACCTCTGAAACTACTACTTTTCTTCTGCGCTTTACATACACATTTTGACTAGCACTTCCTAATACAGTTAACACTCCATGCATATATTCACAAATAATAAAAATAGATGAACAAATTTGGATGTCATTGAAAAGTTGGAGAAAATCCAAATGTATATGGCTTTTAATTCTAAACAATAATTTCACTGTATTTTTTCTAGTTTCTCCTTAAAAACAATGTTCTATGAAGAAAACCAGGCAATTGTGAATCAAGGTGATCTGGTAAACCAGATTATGGCATATTGTAAATAAGGTCATCTCCATATTCAAATACGCATGATCAATAGAAAACTAATGTATTTCTTATCATGGGAGCCAACTATTTAAAATGAAGATACAGCAGGTATGTGTGGCAGAAGCTGAGAAGGCTGGTGAATTGCTGGGGGCGGGGGACGGGGTGCAGAATCCACAGCTACAATGTAAAAAAAAAGTAGACAAAGTGAATTGTATCAAGTTTGAAACTCGGGCCTTAAACCCAGATGATCAATTTACATATAACCACTTTGCACGTGCGGAGGAGAGAGAGAGGAGATTTAAGTCACTTGACAAAGTTCCGAACTTTCAGGTTAACTGCAAGGTCAGGGAAGGCTAAGGTGAGTGTCTGCAAACAAAGGCTGATGCTAATCAACGCACCACCCACGCTGTGAAGTCTGAACAAAGGTTATTTCTCCTTTATGCTCTCCCTGCCCATCCACTTCTACAATGTTTATAAGGTTCCCCCGTGCAACAGAAGGCATCTAGAAGGTGAACCGGTACTGGCTGGGGAAGTACATTGGGAATAATAAGCCTCCAAGTCGTGACTGGTGCAAGAGTGGAAAAAATTAGCCATATTTAGCCCGAGCTAAAAGGCGGCGGATCGTGAAACTGCTGGAAAGCCGTTCTGTGAACAGGGGTCCGTGGACTATACATGTGTCCAGAGTCAGAAGTGGGGCTGCCTGGTCTCCAGGAGAAGGAACGAGGTTTCTGCCCCTTGCGGCCGCTGTGGGACAGAGCGAGCTACCAGCTCTGGCCCCCGGCGGCGGGGGAGGACCGCCCGGAGCCGCCGCTGGAGCTGTCGGGCTCTTTCCACGACGCGCCGGAGATTCCACACTACACTTACTTGGCAGCAGAACAGCCTGCGTTCCCTTTCTTCTTAGGAAGCCCGGTTGTGGATGAACTGGAGTCGGTGTTCCCACAGTGCCAGCGTCGTCGAATCAAGAGCCAAAGGAGGCACAAAGCCCGTCTTTTTGGATGACCGGGGGGCAGGGGCCGCACGCTGCGAGGCCAGCCACCCGCCCGGAAGAAACGTGATTCCAGCGCGGGCGCCGGCCCCCGAGCGCGAGTCCGAGTCCTGAAGGAGATCCAGCCGGGCTCTCGGCCCCGCCCGGCGCGGCGCTCGGCGACCTCCCTCCCGGCGGGCCTGGCTCCGCACGACTCGGCGCGCCGGACCCGCTGCACCGGCCAGCGGCGCACTCACCGCAGGCGCGCGACAGTCTCACCCCCTCCGGCTCGCCGCCCCCGGGCGCTCCAGGGCGGGGTAGGGAGCGGAGGGACTCCGACGTGGGGGCGGCGCTAGGGCGCGGCGGGACGCTGGGGCGGGATGCAGAACGCGGATTGGCTGAGGCGTCGGCCGCCAGCGCGGACTGGTTGGCTCGGGAGGCGGGGTGGGGTGGCAGTGAGTTGGGGGGGCGCGGGCTGTGCTGGCAGGTGGAGGTGTGGGGCAGCGTTAGGTCGGCGAGGCAGAGGCAGGTCTGAGCCACGGGGTGGGGCGGGGAGACCTTGATAGGCCGGGGATTGGAGATGAAGACTAGGCCCAGGGCTCTAATTAGCTATGTGTCCTTCATTTGGGTTGGGGTGGTTGTAGGACAAGGACTGATTTGGAAGAAAGGGCAAACTTGGGGCACTGCGCTTAGGGCAGGGATGGCTGTAGATAGAATAATGTTGGAGGGTGCCTGGCAGAGGGAAAGTCTAAACAGAATGTGAAAAGGGATTTGTAGATGTATTCATCGCCTGTGATGGGGGTAAGAAAAAAAGCAGGAATTTACCGGCGCCTGGGTGGCTCAGCCGTTAAGGGGCTGCTTTCAGCTCAGGTCATGATCCCAGGATTCTGGGATCGAGCACCACATGGAGCCCTGCATCGGGCACCCTGCTCAGCGGGAAGCCTGTTCTCCTTCTCCCACTCCCCCGTTTGTGTTCCCTCTCTCGCTGTCTCTCTGTGTCTAATAAACAAAAGCTTACGAAAAAAAAAAAAAAGGCAGGAATTTACATCTCTGAATAAAAAAAAAAGAGTTTGATTAGAGAACCGACAAGGAAAAGGAGTGTGACACTGGAGGGAAATACACGACATTTCAAAAGTTAAGAAAAAATCGCCAAGGAGAAAAAGACACCGCCAGTCTTAGGTGATGTAGTGCTAGTGAAAGCACTGTTTCTGTTAAGAATCACATTTCACAATTAGACTTCCTTCCTCTCCTATTTTAAGAAGAAGGGTGGATAGATGAAGTGAGAGCAACAGCAACATTGTTACTTAAGCCTAGAGGAAGGAACAAAGGTAATCTTTGGTTGAAGGAATATACTCTTCAACTAGGTACAAGGAGGTTCAGGAGACAATTAGGTGAATGGAGAAATTACTGGGTGCTACAGAGACCCTAGCCCTAGATTGTGAATTGTTGTGGAAACCATTCAGTTGTCAATATTTTCCAACAATTTGTCAATACTCTCCTTTTTGCTGGACAATACTGGTGGTCCAGAAGACCACCAAGAACACACCTGTAGTCATAAAGTTGGGTATATTACTGGTTGCAATGAGGGAAAACACACACCCTGGGGAGCCATGCGTTGGTTATTCCAATAACAGGGTGTTAGAAATGACTTAAAAATTTTTTGCATGTATTAGGTGATTTGGGGGGAGGATTCAAGGAAAGGGAGATTCATTCTGTTTTGAATCCTGTCAGGAAGTAGAGGCAATTGTAGGATGAGGTATCATATGACATTTTATGTAGAAGGAGGGAGGAAATTGCAAGGCTAACTCTGGAATTGGTAGAGGCAACAATTTTGCCAAATGGGAGAGGAGGAAATTTAGTATTTTTGAAGTTTCCATTATGACCTAGTTTTTAAATCTGTGTTTAGGCAAGATTATTAAGTGATCTTGTCTGTTATCTCACTTTATCATGATCACAGAGTGATTTTTTGTCTCATGTTGGTGTTCTGTTAAACTGTTATATTCTATAGGTGAACACTGCAGTCAGTTCCTAACAACACTGAAGCCTTAAGAGTAAGTGTCAGTTCAGTTCCCAATGTCTGGTGCTGCTTTTCTTTTCCTCACAGTTAACAAATATGAATTGAGTACATAGGTGCTGAGCCTACTTGAAAAAATGAGGCAGAGGAAGTGTGTGTCATAAACCTTACAGAGGGAGAAACACACATAGAGGCGTTAATATATACAGTGACTTTGGATGATGATAAGTGCTATAAAAGAAGCAATGATGGGGGGGGACAGCAGATGATTTAAATAGGATGGTTGGGAATTTCTTTTCTTTTTTGTTAGGGGTGACATTCAATCCTGAATTGAATGATGAAGAAGCAACCTTGCAAAAAATGATTCTGGAAAAGAAAATAATAGTGGTAAATGCCCTGAAAAGGGATAAACTTCGCATGCACAAGGAATAAATGAAATCAGTGTGGTTTAAGTATAGCAATCCAGAAGGAAAGTGCTTCTAGATTAGGGTAGAGAAGAAAGCAGGGGCTGTATCATGCAGAACCCTGTAGACCCCAGAAAGGAGTTCAGATTTTATTTTGAAGCAGCCATTGGGAAACCTTTAGCTGAGGAATAATGTACTCTTAATTACATTTTTGTAAAAAGATACTCTAGCTGCTTTGGAGAAGAGACTTGGGGGCAGGCAAAAGTTGAAGCAGGAAAACCTCTTAGGAGGTTGCTAAAGTGGGGAGTGATATTGTTTGGGACTAGTGTGGTGGCAGGGGAGGGAAAAAGGGCTAAGGATCTCAACATTCATTCTGCTGACATTAAGTTACTGCTCCTATCTCAGCATTGCCCCTCCACCTTCAGGTGTGCTAGGTTTCTCCAAATTCAGACACTCTTTACTCACCATCTTCAGAGTATAAACTGCTAATCTCTTGCTAAGATGAAGAGGGGGCAATTGGCAGGGCTATGTGGACCAGGAATGGGGGTCTGGAGATCTAATCGTTTCCTAGAAAGTCCTTTAAATGATCGTTCTGTGTTTAGTCCTGAACCTTTGGAGAGTCAGCTGCCATTTTTACTTTCTTCATGACTGGTCTAGGACTCAACTTCATCTGAATCTGCTGTCTACTACCTGTCTGCTAGAAACCCCACTTGCTTTCTAACTTCTCTAATTTTTGTTGCCACTCTCTTTCCTTTTGTTTTTGTTCCCATGGGTTTATGGCTTAAAAGAACCTCCTTACTGCTATTTTTGGTGGGCTTACGTAGAGTTAAAACAAATATCTTAGATTTGCTGTCTCTTGCTATTATTGTTATTGGTTTACATACAGACTCATTAAATGACTGAATGAACAAATGTTGGGGATTCAGATGCTTTGTTCCTACATTAAGCCTCATGTTATTCTTTATACTCATGTTGATGTTTAAGAGAAATCGTGTTGATGTTAAAGAGAAATATAGAAATATAAGTGATTCCCTGGAATTAATAGCTCATAGGTGTATTTTCCTTACAGAATAGATAAACTGGAAAGAAGAGCTTAGGGGAAAAGGTGGCACAAAGGTCAGTAGATACAAGCAGGTGAGCAGTGAAGTTCAGGTCTTGGGGTCTAGCTGGTGACAGAACTTCCAAAATTTCAGCAGAGTTTGTGGGTAGTTGGTATAAAGACTACATTTCCACCCTCTGTTGTAGCTGGGTTGGGGATAAAACTAAATTCTGGTCACTGGGATATAAATGGAAACTACATGCACTTCATTCAGGAAAATCTTAAAGGGCTAGCATGCCCTTATTGCTCCCTTGTTTTGCAGTTGCCCTGACAGTCTGTGTACAGACAAGATGGCTGCAGATCTCTTGGGCCACCAGATGGAATCTGCAAGTTGAAGATGGTGGAGCAATAAATAGAATGAGAGAGAAGGAGCCTGAGCCCATGACATTAGGGAGCCACTATTCCAGCCCCACATCTACTGTATTTAAGTGGGAGAGAAATCAACTTCATTTCTGTTTAACTCTTTCATATGAATTTTCTGACATGCTGTTGTACTGTGACTGTTGATGCGTTCCTGACTTTGCTAGTTTGCTTACCAAAGGCATTCCACTTTACTTTTACATGACCTCCCAGGTGACAATAGAGGAGTAACAGGGAGGAGAACAAGGTGGAAGCAAAGCTCCATTACCTGGAAATGCTTCACAAGAGGTATTAATTCTTTCCAGCTAGATAAATAATAGCTATACAAACATTAGTTTAAGTAATTCAAAAACTGTAGTAGAAATTATACATTTTCCCATGGAAAGCCTGCCTAAGGTAACTATGGATCTATTTATCTGTCTATCCATCTGTCTATCCACACACACATTTGGCAATGTAGCTATTAGCATTGGTTATTTAAGCCATTCAGAAAGTCTTCATAGTCTCTGAACAGTCTTTTACAAGAGAAAATAAATTTTGACTTTACAAATAAATTTGGTAGGAAAAAATTAATGCAAAACATGGGATTCATATGTAAGATACAATATTTGCTTTGGCAAATATTATACCCTTCTAGGCTAGGTGTGCGGCTTCTGGCTAAATAGTGTTAGAAAATGTCCCTACACAAGTGAATATCATTGTGTTAGAATCTAGTAGAAAACGCTCTTCTCAGGGAGGTGTCATGTGTTTCTTTTTTTTTTTTTTAAAGATTGTATTTATTTATTTGACAGATCACAAGTAGGCAGAGAGGCAGGCAGAGGGAGAGGGAGAAGCAGGCTCCTTGTTGAGCAGAGAGCCCGATGCGGGGCTCGATCCCAGGACCCTGGGATCATGACCTGAGCCGAAGGCAGAGGCTTTAACCCACTGAGCCACCCAGGCGCCCCAGGTGTCATGTGTTTCTTCTCAATCTACTATGTCTCTGAAATTCATGGTTCACATTCTTCATGGAGCTCTCAATCTTTCAGAGGCCTCTCTCTTATAGGATATATGCAGATTCTCAGCTTCTAAAGGGTTTCTTTCCCTTTCTTTCTTCCTCTGTCTTTCTTTCTTTAAAAGGTTTTCTTTATTTATTTGACGGAGAGAGATAGAGCGCAAGTAGGCAGAGCGGCAGGCAGAGGGAGAGAAGCAGACTTCCTGCTGAGCAGAGAGCCTGATGTGGGGCTTGACCCCAGGACCTGAGCTGAAAGTAGCCCTTAACCGACTGAGCCACCCAGGTGCCCCCACTAAAGGGTTTCTATGGTGACGGCATTTCGATCTCTGTATTTGCCATAGTGTGCAGTATCTCTTTGGCACTGCTGC